AGAAACAAAAATAGGTAATTTAAAAATATTGATCTATTTAATTAACTATAAATTATAAATTATTTTAATTATAAATCTTAATTATAAACAATAAATTATACTTTAAATTATATTTAATTTATATTTGTAAATTTCGTATTTAATTATTTAAATATAAATTGAGGTTTAGAATGAAACTCGCATTCTAGTATATTAAACATTCATATAATTCACTAAATAAAAATTTATTTAAAAAATTAGTTTTTATTTAATACATATTTTTTATATGATTTTATTATATATATATATATATTTATTATTTATGTAATAATAAATATTAATAATAATATATAATAAATCTGAATATTATATTCCTATTAATGTTATAGTATTTTTTCTAGGGATCTTAGATCTTTTTAGATGAATATACTATATATAGATTTTAGATACAAACTGCCAATCAAATTACTAAATATTACTAGTTTTGATGCTCCGCATTTTTTTGTAATTTTATAAAATATTTATTTATCACGATACAAAAAATTTCTAATGATTGGATTAAAATTTTTATTGAATTAATAATAAAATTTTATTTACATGTTTAAAGCCTATTGTAAAAAATACAATTTCTTCTTTTTCTTAATTTACAATTGAATTACTTTTACTATTATATACAAATTTACTATTAATATACTATTATATACAATATAATATACAAATTTTTATTTAAAATCATTAATAAAATAATTTTTAGATTATTTATTTTTTAATGATATACATATAATCATATAAAACTTCAATTCAATATAAGAAATTACAAAACATTTAAAAAATTTACTTCATATATCATATTCTTATAATTTATTTTACAATATTTATTTTTAATTTTTTATATTTTTAAAATTAAAGAAAATATTTAAGAAAAAGTTATTTTTTTTTTAATATTTACAATTTTATTATAATTAATTTTAATCTTACTTTTAATATGTTGTATAAATATATTATATATTTCATTTATATTAAATATTATATATTTTATTTATATATATATATACATATATTTATAAAAAATAATTCATATATATCAAAATAAAAAAAATTTAAACATTCATTTGATTACTTATTTAGTATAAAATATTTATTATCATATTGTAGTCATATGTTTTATTTTCAATCTCTAAATAACTTTTCTTTATTTCATTTTAATATGTTTAATTTTAAAAATCATTTAATATGCTATTATTTTGAATATTTTCGTAAATGAACAATGTATACGTAAACATATGAAGAATCATTGATAAGGTTGGTAGTATCCAAAACTATTTATTATTATTATGATATATTCGGAACAGAATTTGTGAAAGGTAACCATTAATTTTTTATCATATTAATATTTTAAATATATTTAAAACATTATATATATATATATATATATAATTAATTTTAATGATAAATATATTTATTAGAAAATTTGGAATGTATTACAGATTGAAAATATTGTATGATAAAAATATTATTTCAGGAAAATTTTCAGAAGGAATATATAAGTTAAAATTATCTCAAAAAAATGAGTCTAGGTAATGTAGCACCCAAATTTCGTGATACTTTTCATCTAGCAAATAAAGATGTATTAAGATGGTTCCCTGGACATATGGGTAAAGGATTAAAACAAATGCGGCATCAGTTAAAAAATGTAGATTGTATCATTGAAGTTCATGATGCAAGAATTCCAATTTCTGGACATTATGCAGATTTTAACAATGTTTTAACTGGATTGAAACCTCATATTTTTATATTAAACAAAATAGATTTAAGTGATATGAGATTTAAGGATTCTATAATAGAATGCTTAAATAAAAAGGGATTATTTAATATATTATTTACTAATTTTAAAAATGTAAAATGTGAAGGTGTTAGAGAATTAATACCTTTAGCACAAAAATTAATTAAAAATTCAAATCGATATAATAGATCAGAGGAATCTTCATTTCAAATGATGATTATTGGTATTCCAAATGTAGGAAAATCATCATTAATTAATCGATTAAGAAGTAATATCCTGCATAAAAGTAATGCTGTACAAGTTGGTGGTATTGCTGGTATTACACGATCTGTATCGACAAGAGTTAAAATATCAGAAAATCCAAATATCTATGTTTTAGATACACCTGGAATTTTAATTCCTAAAATAAATGATATAAATACTGGTCTGAAATTAGCATTAGCTAGTTGTATGCAAGATCATTTAGTGGGACCAGAACTACTTGCAGATTTTTTGTTATTTTGGTTAAATAAACATGAACGATTTGAATATGTACAAAAATTAGGATTAACAAAGCCATCTGATAATATATCAGATGTTCTTATATATATTGCAGCAAAATTGAAAAAAACTTTAAAAATTAAGAATTATGATGGTAAAAAAATTATAAAGCCAGATTTAAGATTTGCAGCAGAATATTTCCTTTCTTTATTTAGAAAAGGAGAATTAGGTTATTATTGCTTAGATGAAGATTTATTACCATTATTATCAACAAGATGAAATTCAAATATAAAATATAGGTATCATATATTATTAAATTTGTTTATACATATTTTTATATATAATATAATAAATCTTGAAAATTTTAAAAAATTTTGAAATATCCATAATATTATATATAAATAATATTTAGTAAAAATGGTGTTAGAGATATATAATTATTTTACTACATATTCAAATATTAAATCTTAAATTATATCAAATGTATATGATAATATACATATTGCAATAATATGTATATTATCATAATTCAAAAAAAAGAAAATTTATTTTTAACATATAAATTATTTTCATATTATATCTATAGTACATACATTTTTTTATATAATTGTACAATTTTTTCAATGAAATTTTCAAAATTATTTTCTTTAGATTTTTTAATTTTATAAATTTGTTATGTCGTTATGTCGTTATGTACCGTTATGTTGATATACGGTCCCCTCCTCGTAAAATAGTCTTACTTTCACTTATTTCTACTTCGAAATTTAACAATGTTATAACAGTTTGTAAGTTTTTCAAAGATAACATTGTTTAAAAAATATTTTTAATAGAATTATTAATGCAAATATTATATTAGAATTGATTTGTTATTATTTCATTGAATATAATTTAAATTGTAATAATTATTTTTTTAATGAATTAAAATTATAATTAAATAGCAATGTTTGCAAGGCTGACATTTTATCCAACATTAGTTTATAATATATTAATGGAAAAAATTTCATCAAGAAATTGGTACGATAGAATTGATGAAACTGTTATATTAGGTGCTTTACCATTTCGAAGTATGACAAAACAGGTATATAATTATTATAATATTATAAATAATTTTAATAATTAATTTTTAAACTTCAAAAATAAATAATAAATATTTAAGAAAAATTTAAGAAATATATACGTACATAATTTAAAAAATTAAAAAATTACGTTCGGAAAAATAAGATCTATAAAATTTTAGTTAATAGCTGAAGAAAATGTTCGAGCTGTTGTTTCAATGAATGAAGATTATGAATTATGGTTGTTTTCCAATGAAAAGGTATATATATATATATTGAAATTACTATTATGTAAATGAAAGTTTTTAATAAGTTTTATTTTATATTAAAATAATATCAGAATCAATAAACAATATTTAATTGCTTGATATTATATATTTTCTAGGAATGGAATAAAAATAACATAGAATTTTTACAATTATCTGTAACAGATATTTTTGAATCACCTTCACAAGAAAAGTTACATCTTGGTGTAAATTTTATCAATAAATTTCGTGATGTTGAAAATACATTAAATAATTCTATTAATTCTGATAAAAGTTATCCTAAAAGTGTTTATGTACACTGTAAAGCAGGGAGAACACGTAGTGCAACATTAGTTGGATGTTATTTAATGATGGTAAGATAATTGAAAATGTATGAATTAAATTTTTTAAAAAATTTTATATAATGTAATCCTTCAATAAAATATTTAATATTATATATTATAATGTATTTCTAGAAGAATCAATGGACTCCAGAAGAAGCAATAGCATATATAGAGCAAAAAAGACCACATATATTATTACACAAACAGCAATGGAATGCATTGACACTCTTTTATAATAATCATATAAAAAAATAATGAATAATCCAAATATATATATGTATATAATTATTAATATAAAATATATATAATAATATAATATAAAAAGAATTATTAGACAATGCTATGTAAAGTTAATGTTAATATATATATATCACTTTACAAAACAGATTTCTAACTTTTTTTTAGTAATAAGAATAATTAACGAATATTTCTAATTTTATAACATATAATTTTTGAAAATCTTATATAAAATTTATACCTAAAATAAAAAAAAATTGAAATTTCTACAATAAATATAAATTATTAAAATTTTAGTGCAAAATTAAATTATAATTATTAATGATTTAAAATTTATAGATTATAATGTATAATATTGAAATGTAATAATTATATTAATGCAATAATTTGTGTTATTCTATTGTACTATATTATTTCAACTTTTTTTACATAAAATTTACGAATATAATCAATGATAATAAATAAGAAAAAAAAATTTTATATAGAAATATATTTGAAATTTTTATCAAGAAATAGAAATATAAATTCAATTGAATGTTCAAACTAATTTTTCTCAGTTAAATTATAATTAATAATATCTGTTTAATTATAAATAATATGAAATAATATTTAATAAATATATTTAAAAAAATACAAATATTAATATTCCATAATAATATAAATAATATATTAACATACTATTATATCAAAATAATAATAAAATATATTAAAAGTATATCTTAAATATAAATATCATTACATTATTTTTACATTATTAATGTTAAAAAGTTATTATTATGTAATTAAATTATAATAATAATGAAAAATATGTATTATTTCAAAAATAAAAAATTTTTGAATAATGATGCTTTAAAAAGTAAAAAAAAAAAAAAACAAACCTGTTTATATAGATCATATTCAAAAGTCTCAATCCACTTTTTTATTCTTTGAAATACTGTAATTAATAAATTATGTTATATTTATTATAAAATTGAAAATAATTTAAGTAATGTTTTAATATTATTATTATTATTATTATTATTATTATTTTATTAAACTTAAAAAAAACCAATATTACTTACTTATAATACTTATTTTTTGATTCTTTTTTTTGTATATGGATAATTTTATTTAAATCTTTTAATTTTGTTAAACATTCTTCTTTAATAAGATATGGTATTGGTATATCTATCACATTTTTTAATTCATTCTCTATCTCTTTACTAATTGTTTTAAATGTTTCATATGTAATTTTTCCATTTTTCAATTTATTTTCTAAATCCAAAACTTTATATTGCATATTTTTACCTGCCATTTTAGCAGTTTTTGCAAGTGATCCTACAATTGCTTTAAGAATAAAATTTGATGCTCCTTTTGAGGAATAATTAAGAAAACAAAAATATTCTAGTTCTGCTGTTTTCAGAATGTGTGTACCACAACATGTTTCTCTAAAAAATATTCATTTTTATTAATAAAAAAACATTTAAAAAAAGACACTTTTAGAATGTATTATTTTCTAATATTATTCTTAAAAAATACTTACTTTGATTTCAAATCAGAGAAATTAATCTCTATAACTCTAATATCTCTATAAGGATAAATCTTTCCTGGTATTAATCTTACAGAATTTTCTGCTAATAATTCCATGGCATTTAATACTTTTGTAGTAACTGGAACATTAGCTATTATAATAGTATTTATAAATTCTTCAATTTCTTTCAATTGTTTAAAAGAAAGTTTTTCTCCAAATGAATTAAATTGACACTTTAAACCATATGGGAGAACAATAGAATTACGCAAATAAACTGCTTGCATAATTTTTTGTATTACTGCATGTAATAAATGTGTTGCAGTATGATGCTGCATTATTTCTATACGAAATTTGGGTTCAATAGAGACTAAACAATTATCTCCTATTTTTAATTTCTCAAGGTCTTTTCTGCATGAATAAATTCCTTTAGATTTTTTATATTATATTAATAAATATAATATAATATAATTATGATATTATATTAAAATTAAAATTAAATTAAAATTAAAACTTACCTTAAATCAAAATGTGAAAATTTTCCATAATGTATTATATATCCATTCATTTTCTTCACATTATTTATATTAAAAATCAAATTTTGTATATAAATAAAACCTTTATCTGATATCTGACCATCTTCTACTGAATAACAAACTGTTTTATCCAATATAATTCCTATTTCATCTTTATTTGATTCTGTATTATAATTTGTAATTTTGTTATTAATAGTTATTGAACATATATCTTTGATTGTACTTTCATTCATTTTGTTTAATATTATATTATCTAGAGCAAATGAATTGTGTATTCTTTTATTATATTTAAATAATATCATTAAATCAATGGATAATTTTTACCATTTATAATTAATGCCAGAATTTTACTTTCAATTTTAGGAAACTCATAACTATTTCCATTAAAAACATATTTATATTTAAAACTGTCATCAGTTTTAGGTACATGATTTTTTTCAAGTATTTCTAACGATTTTTTAATATCTGTTACATTACTTTTTTCAAGACCAATTCTTGATCGATTCTTTAAATTCTCTAATTCTTTATAAAAAGCTACTTCATCAAAATATAAACATTCGATTTCCGCCAATTCTTTTATCGTTTCTATATTTAATCCATATGTATCATATAATTTAAAGGAAACACTTCCTGGTAATACTTTAGTTATTTTTCTACAAAATAAACAATATATTAAACAACATGTACATTATGTTTTAACATGTAAAATTTTATTTAAAAAAATTGTTAAAATCTATATAATAATAAAATTGCTAATATATTTTTAATTTTCAAATAATTAAATTTATTTGATAATCAAAATTATTCAAAAGTTTAAGATTTTCTTATCAAAGTTGGACTATTTTGGATATGAAATGCATATGATATTTATTTAGTAATTTCATGATAGCTAATAAAAATTTAATCTATATAACTACAACATTATTAATAAAAATTCATAAAATCAAAACTTTTATAAAAAAAATTTTCTTAACTATTGAATTATAAATCCAAATATAGTGGAACCTAAATAAAAAAATAATAAAAACAGGAACAAAAAATCAAATTTGTTTGATCAATTAATACTTTGTTTCTGTTCACATATTCATCTAAATTCGTGTTTATTATAATTAATTATAATTAATTAAAGCCAAAAAGATAGACAATAATTAATAAAATATATTATTAATAAAAAATATTTAATAAAATTATAATATTTAATAATATTTAATAAATATATTTAATATTTAATAAAAAAAAAATTCTATAATTGTTATAGAATTTAGAAGAAAAAATAGTCTAATTTAGTCTAATAATTTAGTTTAAGTTTTGTGGTTTAATAATATAAGAAAACAATTTTTTTATTTGATATAAATCCTGCATATTTATAAATTATAAACATACATACAAATCATTAAGTATCTTTTGAAGATATTTATATCCATCTCCAAGACCAGGAGATAACCATTCAGTAATTGACTTCAATTGAGGATATGTTTTAATAAGTTTTATCCATTGTTTATCAGAAGTGTCTTTTAATCTCCTATATAATTCTTCTTCATGTTCTATTATCTTTTGTATCTAAATTCAATTATATTATATAATAAGATATAAGATATGCAAGAAAATAAATTTTAAATTATTAATATAATAATATAAATATCCATACTCTATTTTATTGTATAATACCTTTTTTATATTGTTTTGCAATTCTGGATAAATATTACCTAAAGTTTCTACAACAATGTAAGATAATTCAGAAAGTATTCTCTCTTTTTTAAATACTTTTTCACCTACATCAATTGATTTTCTTATTATTTTTTTAAGTTTATTGCTAAAATCACAATTATATATTATCATTATATATATAAATAATATATTATTTATAACAGAATAATTTTACCTTTGTTCTGGTATTACTCCATCTGCTAATGATACAGTAATCATTCTGCTGTGGTCTGCCAAAATTCTATATCCACTATCAAGAGAATTATCATTATAAAATGTACCTTTATATTCTGGTGCTTTTGTGTATTTTTGAATAGCTTTAAAAAATGGTTGAAAAATATCTGTATCATAATTGGATTGTTTCCCTTGTAATACTGCAACTAATCTTTCAAATCCCATGCCTGTATCAACATAATGTTTCGATAGAGGTATTATTGCACCACTTGGCAATCTAACATAAAATAAAAAAAAAAGAAAATTCATATTTAAATATTAAAATATTAAATATTTATTCTATATAAAATAATATATTAATATAAATATCCATATATTTATATTATTTTAAATATTTTCATATTATAAATATGAAAATAACAATTTTTTTAAATTAATATACCGTTCATATTGTATAAAAACTATATTCCACAATTCTGTGAGATCTCTGTATCCTTTGTTAATTTGCATACATCGATTTTTCAATTGTTTTGTATGATCTACATGTATTTCAGTACATGGTCCACATGGTCCTGAAATACCCATTTCCCAAAAATTCTCTTGTAATCCAAATGGTAAAATTTTATCTTTCTTAACTCCGATACTTAACCAAATTTCTTTACATTCTAAATCAGGCTTCAATTCTAATTTTTCATCTCCATTAAAATATGTTACATATAAAAATTCCTCCTTAATACCATAATGTTTTGTTAATAAATTCCAAGCATAACGACAAGCTTCTTCCTATACAAAAATATAAATCTATATTTGTTATTATAGTTTAAATTAAAAATTAAAAATAATGAAATATGTTAAAATATTTTTAAAAACACATACTTTAAAATAACTTCCAAAAGACCAATTTCCTAACATTTCAAAAAATGTATGATGATAACTATCATTTCCAACTATATTTAAATCATTATGTTTTCCACTAATTCTTATACATTTTTGGGAATTTGTAACTTTTGTTACAGGTGAATTATAATAATCTAAAAATATCCCTTTAAACTAAAAAAAAATTAATAAAAACTATATAAACGATATTATGAAAATATATAGTTAAAATTTTTCATTCATAAGAATAATATAATTAATGTATTATAATAATATTAATTTTCAGTGAATATTTATAAAAAATATTATTTTGATTATAAAACATACTTGATTCATGCCAGCATTAACAAATGCAATTGTATGATCATTAAATGATATAACAGGACTTGACCGAATAAAAGTATGCTCCAAATCTTTTTTAAAATAATCCAAAAATTCATTTCTAATTAAATTTGCACTTCTTTGTATTGTAAATGAAGAATTATATACACGTGTCAACAAAATACAATTCATATTATTTTTTATATCAAATGCTATAATTAATCAAAATTAATCTATTAATTGAAATAAATTTAATTTAATATTGAATATTTATTTAATGCAACATTGTATAAAATACTTTTTAAAATTTTATTTTTTAAATTTTATAAATATGAATTAATTTTAATTTTTCAGAATTTTTTATTTAAAAAATTTATTTCAATTCATAGCATGTAACTCATTACGTAAATTTTCTATAATTATTCTATAAAATAAATATTTGAAACTTTTAAAGAGAATAATTATATTTAAATTATCGTTTAAATTATATAAATTATATATATAAACTAAATTATATTATATAATTTTTAAATTTTATTTTCAATAGAATAATAAATTACAACACTTGTCTTATGAACATATATAAATTCTTTACATATTAATCTGTTTTGTAATTCAATTTTATTTTATTAGAATAAATTTTATTTTCCAAGATATATTTTTAATGCTTCAGTATTAAATATTTACATTGTTTTCAAAAAGAATGTTCATAAAAATCTACCTAAATAATCTAGTGATTTTATCGTTAAATGAATTAAAGGTGGCACTATGTAACACAAAACTTATTGCTTGCCGTCAAAAGTATTCAAGGTGGAAATTGACGCCATTTCGTATCTCGTTTCGCTGATAGCGTCACGAAAGTTTTATCCCTTTTTACTTTAATTTAATTTCGCCAAAACGTCGCAGCCACATGTAAGTATTAATATAACATTATAATAAAATATTTGATCATTAAAAGTATCTTTGAGGAATTTGCGACTTAATGGAGAGGAGATTCGCATATCGTCAGTTACTAGGGCACGCCAAGGGCCGGTTGTTTTTAGATATCTTTTTTTCTTCGTTGTAAGGTCGTATTTCAATTCTATATTTTTAAAATTCAATCTGTAATACATTTATTTGTATTAATTTATTAGAATAATTATGATTGATTGAAAAAGTAGTTGACTATTTTTCTTTCTATTGATAAAATCTGATAACTTCTATGGCCTTGAACAATATATGTATAAGCGTCTTCTATACATTTACCGGAAAGGAATGCAACTTCTCAAATTTTATTTAATTTCTTTTTTCAGCTATTTGAAGTTTACAAAATTTAGTAAATCAACTTCTTTCCTCATTTTATTAGAAAAAATATAAAATTGTTTTATTTGTATTTTAAGATCTGTTCTCAGATAATAAAAAACTGTCTAATAAGGATCATGTAAGTTTTATGCATTTTTTTAATATTCTTGAAATGTAGTTTCTTCATTTCAGGAAATTTCAAGGAAATGTTAATGCTTACATGTAACTATTTCTTCAAAAGGTACAAATTTTTAAAGCATACATATATATGGACTTATACATATTTACAATTTCTTTTTTTTTATTAATTTTTTTTATTCTCTATTTTCTATAGTTAATATTAATATTAAGTTTAAATAAAAAATATGCATATAATTTATAAAATATATCTAAAAATTAATTATTTTAAAATATAATGTTTTAATATATTAAATTATATTTATTTCATAAAAATTATTAATGAGATTTAGAATTTTTGTACAAATATATCTATTATAAAAAATATTATTGTCATATTTCATTAATATTTCAATTTCATATATATTTTGCATTTTTTATAAAGATTTATAACTACATTAAGTTTATTATATTAATATTTAAAGTGAATCAAAATATTGCTTTTTTTTTATTATAAAGTATAAAAATAATATCATTAGAATATCTATATTTCTTGGACAAAAAGATATGTGTATACTTTTCAATAATATACTTTTAATTGTTTAATATAATAATAAATTGCATATAAATATTTGATGAATATGGAAATTATTCATAAATGCATATATTATAATTTTTAATTTTCACAAATATAAATATATATATATAATTTATGAAAAGGAAATGTATTAAAAAATTAATTATTTTAAAAACATAATATAAAGTTTTACTCTATTAAATTATATTTGTTTCATAAAAATTATTAGTGAGATTTAGAATTTTTGTATAAACATATCAATTATAAAAAAATAATGTCATATTTCATTAATATTTCAATTTTGTATATATTTTGCTAAGCTCAATATAGCTCAATATAGAATTTAAATAGATTTAAACAAAAAATATTATAATATTCTAAGATTCTTTTGCGATGTATAGAAATATTATTATGCTAAAAAA